AGTGAAGTTTAGTAAGTTCAATTATTATTTAAGAATAAAGGTCTTGAATCAAACAAAAATCGCTAGTAAAGATTAATTCATAATGTTTTGATACAATAAGTTTGTTCACGTATAGCAAATTACAATGAAAAATGGGAACAAATAAAAAATCGGATAAGATTAGTGAATAAAAGATTGTGACATGACCAATGTGCATGACATTAATCTTATTTTCAATAGGTAATTTTATAACCATATTATTGATAGTATGATAGGAATCAAATAAATCCAAAGAAAAGATAATATAGTATATGCATTAGTGTCAACAATCTAAATGTGTTTGTTTAAAAAATTATTAGATGAAAAATTCATAACAAAAGAACTTGTGTTTGGAAAATTATTACCTATAACATTTGATATAAAAAGAGAATTAGATGACACATTTGATTGTAAAAGAGATGCTTGATGAACTTTACTCATTGAGAATAGTTATGAGTTTCTAAAATTGATTCTTTGTTAAGGATAATTATGTAAAAACGCCATCTAAAATTGTATTATCCTGAATTTTTGAATCAACAAAATCAGTTACATTGTTTACTATATACAAATAAGTAGGTTTGTTCTTGGTGAACTTGAAGTTTGTTGAAAACCCAATCAATCTATAGCATTTATCCTTTGTGTGTCTAGTCTTGCCACAATAACTATATACCACATCAGTTTTGGGTCTTTTTTTTTTATGTTCACTACTGCTTGCCATTGCTGAATTTTCAATAAGAGATTGATATGTAACTTGCATATGTCTCCGATTTTCCTTTTTTAGTACAAGATTATAAACTTCATGTAATGTAAGAAAAGGTTTTATGACAGGAACTTAAAACTCAAGAGTAGAATAAGTCTCACTATGTATTAATAAACCTAAACACATGATTCTTCCGCTACATATCAACAAACTTCTATAAATATTTTTCATTACATCTTCCTTATGAATAGTGAGAGAAAGGCCAATAATTCTTTAATTTTTCCCAAACACCATTTAATTTTATAAAATATTCATCTACTGACTTATTTCTTTAAGAAATTATACGTAAAGACAATTGTAAGTTACAAATCTTTGTATCATCAAGTTATGAAAATTTCTTTTTTAAAGTCTCCTAAATCTTAGAAGCAAAGTCAATGTAAAATACATTTGATGCAATTAATGGTATAATCGACCTCAATAACGAAGCAATAATGAGATTATTACTTATTGTCTATGCATTATACAATAGATCATTCGTTGTAGGTGGTTTAATTGATCCATGCATAAAACTAGTTTTGTAAGAGCTAATAAAAATGACTCACTCCAAGTGGCATAGTTACTAGATATGAATGAGCTCATGAGAAATTATAATTGATCCATGTTGATTAGACTAATGAAAGTAATAAGGTGATGAAGGATCTTTTAATAGATAAATCAAATTAGTAGTAGATGAAGAATTAATAGTTCTTACTCGAAGCCATTGATGAATTCTAGTAAGATTTAAAATCAAAACAAGAAGATCTTACTAAGAGGTGAAGAAATACAGCTGATAAAGATCAAGATCAATTAATTGAATCAAACGAGAAGGAGATAATGATGATCATAGCTAAAAGCTTACAATCGTAGGATTTTGCCACTTTAATGCCATGTTTAGTTGAGAAAGAATAAGTTAGAGTTGAGTTTTGAGAGAAAAATTGAATATGAATTCTTCTACTTTCTTTGTTAAAACTAGAATAATTTACAAGTGCCATATATAATAGCAACTAATAGAAAGTTAGCAAGATACTAACTAGCTAAATAACAAAAAAGTTAAATAAAAGAGCTAACTAACTAATTAACTAATTATTGTTTCTAACTAATTACAAGCTGCATTAAATATCTAGCTCTAGCCTTCTATTTATTCCTTTTATATTATTTGCTTGGAAAGTGATGTTCCAAACTTAATTATAATTAAGAGATAATTTTTAAATCAAATTAATTTTATTATTTTTGTAATTTAATTTTTTAAAAATATATTTTTTATTGGTTATATATTGAGATTTGTATTAAATTGGTTTTGAATTGTTAATAACACTTATATTAGATGTGGGTCTTCTTCTTTCTAAGCTAATTGTTTATTTTATTTTATTAATAGTTGTTAATATATTTACGATATCAATCATTATTTCATGCTTATGACTCGTTATTTAAAACTATGGACTAAAGACCGAGTCTTTTAGGATGGGGGATGTTGCTTTTGTTTTTCGGAAAAGCAAACACGAATATGGTACTTTGGACTTGTATTTTCAAAGGCACAAAACTAAGGAAGCCAACCTCTATTTTTATATTTTTTTTTAAAAAAAAATTAGCCCATTGTTATACCTAAATTTATTTCGAGCGTTGACTTAATAAATTGGATAGAAAAGATGGATAAAACTCATCTACTTTTTCAATGCATTCTTTTTAATTTTCTTATTAATTAGCTTCACTTAAAAGTCTATTGGGTATTTTCTATTCGGAAAAAGTCGATTCTAACTCACTAAGCTCAACAAACGAGGCTTGGCCTAACAAATCGACTCACATAAGATCGTTGGAAATCCTTTAATAAGTTAAGGAGAAATAGACAAAAAAATCCTTCTCGATGAGGTAAAAGCTAAAGGAGAACTTGGGAAAAAAAGTCTTATTTTAAGAGTGACGATAATCAACGAGTAAGAAATGCATAGATAGTTAAAGAATAACAAATTCTAGTAGCAATAAGAGCATGATCTAAATAGTTACAAAGAACATGAGAGATTGTAACATAAGAATAATAGAATAGGGCAAGGAATATAATGCATTACGAGCATAAAAAAAGGAAGAATTTAGGTTCATTACGACATAAGAAAAGAAGTACATAGAGCATTACAACACGTATGAAAAAGAGTGGTTCATTATGAAAGATCATCGAGGAGTACCGACTATGGTAAGAGAATAAACACATACCAATACAACACATAAGCAAAGTCTTATAAATTGCAAATGGTTCGATGGTACTTTCACAAGTTTCACACTTAAAACTTGTTAAACGAGTAGCTAGTAGTTAATAACTTATAGACGATAGCTTATATGCAATAATTTATAAGTGATAGTTTATAAGCGGTAATCTATAAGATGTAATTTTTAGGTTATAATCTAGTAGGCGATAATTTGTAAGTTCATAGTTGGTTATTGATCCTCTATTTATGTTTGAAGTGTCAACTTGTGAATACTTATAATTTTCTTTAGTTGTAAGTTTATTGCTTTCGGTTTGAAAGTTTTGTAAAGATTGCGGTATTGTTTTATAAAACTTTCAAGTTCTTAATTACTAGATTTTCATTCATATTGCGACTGCGAGTTTTTAGTATTTTAATTGTCTAATTCTTTAGTTTTTAGTTTAATTTTTTTAATTGCATATTAGGATTAAAAGCTTAATTATTACTTTGAATCATCTATTTTTTTTTTCTTTGTTTATTATCCTTATAGTCTTGTAACCCAACCAATTTGGGGGTCATAATTTCTCGCCAAGAGTTTCCGGACCTATTGTAGCATATTTAATTTAGTTTACTTTTGGTTTGTTCAAGACCTATTGTATTCGATTTAATTTAGTTTAATTTGGTTTGTTCATAACATAAAATGCTAAAAACGTCATTATGATTAGTAGTAGTTTATGTTGCAAAATTAATTTGGTTCATCTACCTCTACAATTAGAAGATTGATTGTCTTGAAGAACACTTCTCAATCATTATTTACATTATTTTATTACAAAGTTCTCTTAACTAGAATCTGGATAAAAGAATCGAAACAATCATTCACCAAATCCTGTAATGTAAGCCCGGTTAGTGATCTCAAGTGAGAATGTTGGAGCTCTTTTTAAAACAAATAAAAGATGGATTCGAAGCTAGATGAAACATGAAGAAAGTCATATCCGAAAGAGGGTAGATGACCAACAACAAGTAGGTGAAGAAATAACGGACTTTTAGTAACAATAAAGCACGACCCGGACAGGTACAAGGAACATAGTAATTACAACGTAAGGAAAAAAGAGTAAGATATTGCGGCTTAAAAAAGGAAAAGCATGAGTGTATTGCGGTGCAAGAAAAGAAGAATATAGAGCACTACATCCCGTATTCGAGAGAGTGACCCATTACTTGGATGGTATGTAGTAGCAGAGAGTCCTTCAATAACTATTGCGATCAAAGAGAGCGACACACAACAATACCAAATACAAGCAAACAACTCAAAGGAGGACTATCACAAGTTTTACACTTGAAACTTGTTAGGTAATAACTAGCGAGTGGTAATTTATAGTAGATAGCTTGTTGGTAATAATCGGTAGGTGGTAATCAATAGATGATAATTTATAGGTTGATAATTGATTTTTCATTCTCTATTTGTGTTTGAAACCACCATCGTCTATAGTTCCTTTATTAATCGTTATGTATAGAGTATCGGTTTGTAAATACTCATAATTTTCTTTTACTGTAAGTTTATTTAATTCAGCATTGTAAAGATTGCGGTATTGTTTTTATAAAGATTTTTAGTTCATTTTTGTCAAGTCTCCATTCATATTGCAACCTTTTAGTCTAAGTGTTCGATTACTTAAATTTTTAGTTTTATGGTTTAATTCTATTATTTAGATCACATTTTATATTAGAGAGTTTGACTTCAATGTTCATTCATCTTTTATTTCAAGTTATTCACCATCTAATCTTACAACCTAACCGACTTGAGAGGTCGTGAGGGGTTTCCAAGCCTATTACAACCCGTCTAATTCCTCTAGATTTAGTTTCTTTATAATGTTAAAACTTCAAAAAAATCCTAAATAGTTGTTGTAATTTATGTTCAAAAGTTAATTTGATTCATCTATTTGTGAGATTGAGAGATTGATTGCCTTACAGAGTACATCTTAATCATCTTTTACCTTTTAAATTACAACTTTTTCCAATTACAAAGCTCTCTTAATTAAGATCGCCACAAAAGAACGTGCAATAAAATGCAATGAAAACTAATTCCTCAAAATCTCCAATTTCATTGTTGCTGCTTCTTGCATATGACTTGTATTGTTCATCTCGTCAGTCTTGTGACTAGTTACTCTATTGGATAGGCCGATGGAAGCGGTCGATCTGCGCTTTATTTATTTATTTATTCTGTTACAGTTAGTTACTGCCCAAAAAGAAAAAAAGACCAGGATTTTAAAAATCTAAAATCTCCTGCGCTACAAACATCCTTCAGGAGATCCTCCCTATTGAACTCTGAGGGTTCCATGTAAAACCCTTTTCCATGGGCTAATTCGCAAAGCCATTCTAGCAAAAATATTAAGGTAAGACTTAGAGCTCCCTCTTACATCTTGTCACTGGCTCTCTTCCCCTGCCTTATCATCTCCAACCACAGGATCAGTAGTTATAATTTTACAAGAACTTTTACATACTAATAGTCCTTCACAAATTTTTTTGATAATGAGAAATTTAGAAATTTATTCATACTTAATGATAATTGCGCTTTTAAACTCAATCAATCAAAATTCTTACACAAGAAATTGCACAACATAATGGCATTTTAATGCGCATCACTTTTCAATGTTCTTATTTCTTCTGGCCTTCACCAATATGTGAAGTGACCAAAGAAATAAAAAAAAAGGTCTGATTATTTATCACCACCTATAATTAAAAGAGCAACTGATGATTAATTGATAACCATGCTGATATTGAAAATACAATTATACCTATCCAGAGACCAGGCTGTGACTTGAAAGTGATCAATCTAAATAGCAGCAGTGGATAAAGAAAGATGAGAATCATAAAATAATCTCGTAGGTTATAAATCAGTGCTTCTATTTAAGCAGTTCTACAGTGTTACAGACATTAACTGGAATAGCATTTTCAAGTGGCAATGAAACGTAGAGATGCATCTTTCAGGTACCGAAAATAAGACTTCCCCATTGTATCATTGTATTCTTTTCAGAGACACGCATAAAGCCAACCGGCACTGTAGCTAGTCAGCTACTTCTATGCAAGATAAATAAAAAATGTTTAGCAAGATAAACATCCGAGCAAGCTTTGAATCCAAAAGAATATGTACACAATTCACTACTGAAAAGAAGGTTGTACTAGGTAATTCAAAATCTATGACTACGTACTTTCTTGTAGCAAGCACTCTCAATAATCATCTTCATCATCTGTCATTGTAAAATCCTCTACTGCAGTAGACGTAATATTTTCTTTGCCCATTGAGCGCATTTCATCAATTTCAATAAGTAACAAAGGATCACAGACCACTTTATCTGTCCGCAGATACCTGGGACAGCCTGAGAGGAAGAGACATGGTCAAAGGTTAAGAATTGTGCATCAAATTCACAAATTAAAACTGATGAATATTGAATACCTGTTATGGGGCATTTGGCTTGTGCATTACTGGATATGTAGCCCATGATTGCTTTCTTTTCATAAATATGCTTGCAATCCACACTAGACCAGGGAAAAAGGAAACATGAGAAGTTTTGAAATATAAGAAATAAAGTCAGAACCAAAAAAGCTTCCATCTTAAACAACTCAGCAATGTCCAATATTCCAAGTAACTGGGCTACTGCAGGAAGATAATATTGAAGCGAAAAACAGTACCCACAAACTGGTTCTGCTAGTTCTGTAATTGGCTTTCCACTCAATGGGCAAGTGATATTCAAAATGGTGGACTGGGTACTTGTCATTACAATGTCCTCCTGCTCTTCACCTGGCATTGGTTGTCCTGCATGATGAACATTCTGTGGGAGAAGACAAAAGGCGAACACCAAAACCAGTGGTTAAGCACAAAGACCTGAAGAGCACTATCAATAAAGGCAAGAGAGGGGGAAATAAGTGAACACATCTAGAATCAAGCAACCAAGAACTCTTCAAAATCTACAATTACATCCATAAGGAAGGCCTCTATGAGATCAACAAACCACAATCAAGAAACAACAGCATTATATTAATGCAGAAGAATGCAGATAAAGTCCCCCACTTAATCTCAAAATTAACAGCAAAGTGAAGATTGTGTCACCGCTAGAAATTAGTCATGTCATGCCTTTGTAATAGGCAATAATGCAAGAAAGATGTCAAAATCAATTAATGTCTGGAAATTTACCCATACAGCTTCTCTAAGTTGACGTATAAGCGGATGATTCTGCGGGGCTGAGGATTGATTACCCTTCAACTTTGTAAACTCATCATTAAGCAACTTTTTGAAATCAGTTAACTGCATTTCAAACACCAAACCAATTGTATGTCTAACAACGTGAAAAAGAAAAGAAAAGAAAAGAAAGTTAAAAATGGGCGGGAAAAGAAAAATTCACCTCTGCCCCAGGCTGGTATGTGTTACCAACAGATTCAATAGCAGAAGTATAATGCCTACAATCTTCGTAAGTCCCCAACAGCTCTGCAACGGTGTTTTCAAGTTCATTCACCTGAAATGCATCTAGTCACCAATAAATTCAAGAAATTACAATGAACATCAAGTCCTCTCCAAACCCTTTTATTTTTTTGTCAGCCATAGCAAAAGCATATCCAAATTCCCAAAGTAAGTTTTAAGAAAGATATCTAAAATGAAGCCAAAAAGCAACAAACCAGATCTCTAAAACAAGAGCACAAAAGTACTAATTAGTTAAAATCAAGAAGAAAAAAAACTCCCTTTTATTAAATTATTACAATCAAATCAGATCCCAATTCACATTATCAAGTTCTTATAAAACCTAAACTGCATTTTTACTAATCAATTTCAAATGCCCAAAATCCCAATTTTTTTAATAAAACTTTTTACGAAAAGCAAATGTTTTTCTTAAAACAGTACCTTTCCAGACTCATTCTCTCTCTCAAAATCAACTGCAATCTCCTTCATCGTATAGAAAACCTTCCTAATTTCCTGGACACAAGATAACGCGAAACTAGGGTTTCAAAAGTGAATTCAATATATTAGAATCGAAGGGAGGACTTTGAGAGACTTACAACGATGAGAGATTGGTTTTCCGAGCAGAGCATTGAAGCGGAGGTTCTCATTGTTCCGGTTGTGGCCGCTTCGCCTCCGCCGCGAGGAGCGGAGGTTGATGCCATGTATAGGATCCGATACGCTAGTGGCCGGGTAGCGTGTGTTCTTTTGGAGGGAGAAATAAGGAAGGAAAGGAAAATAGAGGAGGAGAAAAGTATTGCTGTTCTCCAAAAGGGAAACGATGCCGTTTTTTTAATGATATCTTGAAACGATGACGCATTGAATGATATTTGGAAGGAATAGCTTCATTGTGAAAATTAATACGAAAATAGCGTTACTGTTATTATTATATTTTTGTTTCTTACAAAGAATCGAAGATATAAACTATGAAGAATTTAGTGCATAGTACAGTAGCAATTTAAAATAAATCCAACTAATCGTGTTATAACAGATGATTTAAAATAATAAATTTTAAATCATAATAAGTCTCAATTAAATAAAAAAAATATCGAATTATATAGTGTTTTTTGCAATTTTATACTGATAGCAATGTTGGCAAAGCAACCCTTATCTGTAATTCAATTTTGATAAAGGAAAAAAATAAATTTCTCAATTCATTACAACTTCAAATCATTTATATGAAAAATGATTGATAGTATTGAAACAAATGAAAATTAATTATTACTTTTCAATAACAAATAATTTTTGCAAAGTGGGTATTTGGATTTATAAAATTTAAGAACAACTTGACAATTTCACGTTGCTAAGATAGATTAAATTAATGAGCGATTGAGATTGTTATTCTTTTTGTGGTTATTTTCATCTCTTTAGATCTTGACTTATTCTTTTAGATTCAAACAAATAAATCAAAATATGTTGTCATTAATAGAATTAAAATTATATAAAATATAAATATTTATGAAGAAAACTGACCAAACAAATGATATGAATTTATCAAATTGATTTCATTGTGATTCTTTAAGATTTAAACATGTATTTTAAAATATGTTACCGTTAGTATAATTAAAATTATATAAAAAATGTAAATATTTATTGAGAAATATTAACACAAATGAAGTGAATTTTAAGATTTTATTTTAATATGAAAATCTATTTCTTGAGTTAAAATAGAGTTTTAATTAGAAAAATAATTTTTTTGTCACAATTTATGTTTTATGGAGCAAACTTAATAAAATATGTGTTAGAATCTCACACGCTTAACTAATTTTCTAGAACCTTGTTGAAGATGTAATTCTATATAAATGGACCAATGCCTCTCATTATTTTTTAGAACCTTGTTTAAGATGTAATTCTATATAAATGGACCAATGCCTCTCATTATAGAATTAAACTAGTCATTTGTCCACGTTTCGTCTGCGGTCCGATAAAAAAATCGTTTTAAAATTTCAAATTTTTTTATTCACTTAATCTTTTTAATTTTTTTTAATTTTTTTGCTTACAAAACATAAATCATTCTTCTTTATGAATTGATTTTAAAATAAAAAATATAATAATTTTAAATAAAATATTAATCAAGAATTAAAAAAAACTTTTAAAATATAATTCATAATATTGTATTAAAAAAATAAAGTTATAATTAATGGATAGAATTTTATAAAAATTAACAAATGAGAAAAAAATTCTTATTTAATATTGATGAGAAGATAATTTTTAAAATTATTTGTGCAACGTCATGGTTAGATAGAACAAAATCATTTTAAAACTTTATAATTTTTTCATTCATTTTTTATTTAATTATTATAGTTCTTTATCATAAAATTTCTGCTTAAAAAAATATGATTTATTCTTTTTTATTCAGGAATTCTTAAATAAAAACTTGTAATAATTTAAACCTTAAATATTAATTAAGAATTCAAAAGCAAATACTTTAAAACTATATATTTTTTAATAATAATGTATCAAAAAAATAAAGTTACAATTAATGTATAGATTTGCATAAAAATTAACGAATGAAAAAATTAAAATTTATTTTTATTTACTATTGGTGAGAAGATTATATTTTTTTCAAGTATATGCATTAGATCTATATATATTTATTAACAAAATAATAAATAGAATTAGCATAAAAAATTATATTTGAATAATTAGTTGGTTCCTTTAAAATATTATTTTAATTGTTTTATTTCAAATAAATTGATTCTATAATGTTAAAAAAATATTCATGCTAAATATTTTGTATTAGGTTGGAAGATATATAGTTATTTTAAATAAAATCAATGGTTCAATAGTTTTTTTATACGTCTTGACCATATCTAGTGAATTGAGATAAATTATTTAAAATAAACTTTTAACCTTTTAGAATAAAATAATTATATATTTATATATACGCAAATATCATTTAAAAATTATAAGAATTCATGATATATATTATATCTATTTATTTTTTAAAAAGAAAAATCATGTTTTAAAATTTTATTCTAAAATTCAAACATAGAGAAAAATAAATTATATTTATCAGTAAATAAAATCTTATATAAAAAATATCAATTGGATGATAATTTTCATAAGAAATGATAAATTCAAAGAATGAAATTTAAATTATAAGAGTAATATAAACTGAAATATATGTTAATTTTAAAATATAGAAAAAGATAGTATATATATGAAAACCCATAATAAACAAATTTTAATATAAAATTTAGAAAAAAAAATCTTCATATTTTTTTCATTACATTGCATCAAAGAAATAAAGCAACAATTAACATAAAAATTTGAATAAAAATTAACAAATGAAACTTTTTTACCGATGAGAAGATTGTTTTTTTAAATATATACATTTGATTTACATATATTTATTTACAAAATAATGAATAATATTAGTATACAAAATTGTATTTGAATTATTAGGCAATTATTCTAAAATATTATTTCTATTATTTTATTTGAAAAAATTATTTTAAATATTAAAAAATAATAGTAAATAGTTGGTATTGTGTGTGTAGATGCATAGTTGCTTTCTAATAAAATCAATGACTCTATTATTATTATTTTTTATATATCATGACCATACTCAATAGGTGAGAATATATAAAATAAACTAAAAAATATTTTTAAAAAATTAAATAGTAAAATATATATTGAAGTTAATAGAGTGCATTAAAAACTATAAAACTGATTTCGATAAAATTTGATTATATAAAAAATAAGAAAATAAAACACATATATTCAATTTTTTAAATTTGATTATATGAGAATTAAAAAAAAAACAGATACAAAAAAAAAAAAAAAAAAACTTATTTGAAACCATACATAGAGAAAATAAGTCATATCTCGTTAATAAATAAAATTATATAAAAAATAAGAATAAAAATTAACTTGTTAAGGATTTTTATCGAAAAGATCAATTTTAAACAATAATAGTTGTTTATTTATTCTAAAATCTTAAAACATATCATATAAATGTAAAAACAATATATCATATATATATATATATATATATATATATATAATTGTCACTTTATGTAAAAAAAAAAAAAGAATAATGATTGATTTTTTAAAATTTTAACACCTAATTAAATAAAAAAAGGAACATAAATTGATGAAAAAAAGCAAAGGAAAAAAAAAAGAAAAGAAAAAGCATGTGTAATGCATTAGTTAAGGGATTAAAATTTTTATTTTAAAATTTTAGAGATCAAAATAAAATAATATGAAAATTTTAAAAATTAAATAAAAAAGAACCTAAATTGATGGGGAAAAAAAAGCAAAGGAAAAAAAAAAGAGGCATGTATAGTGAAACCAAAAAGAAAAAAAAAGAAAGAATATATCTTATAAATATAAAATAATCGTATATATAAATTATATAATAGTCAGTTTGTGAAAAAAAAATAATAACGATTGATTTTTCAAAATTTTAACACCTAATTAAATAAAAAAGAACATAAATTGATGAAGAAAAAGAAAAAAAAACATATAAATGTAAAAAATATTGTATAGATTATAAAATAGTTGGCTTGTGTAAAAAAAATAATGATTGATTTTTTAAAATTTTAACACCTAATTAAATAAAAAAAGAACATAAATTGATGAAAAAAGCAAAATTGATTTTTCAAAATTTTAACACCTAATTAAATAAAAAGGAACATAAATTGATGGAAAAAAGCAAAAAAAAAAAACCATGTGTAGTGAGTTAGGGGATTAAAATTTTTATTTCAAAATTTTAGAGATCAAAATAAAATAAACCCAAAAATTTTAAAAAGTTAAATAAAAAAGAACCTAAATTGATGAAAAAAAGCAAAGGGAAAAAAATAAAAAACATGTATAGTAAAACTAAACTTTTTTTTTAAAAAAATGAAACTTAACTACTTTAAAAAAAAAAAAAAAACTTGCTTGCGAAAAGTGGAATAAAGGCTGGGAGAGGGAAAAAAACAATAAAACGTTTTACCAAAAAATAAAAAGAAGGCTAGAAAACGTTGTTCATTGAACAGTGAAACACATAATGAATGTACTTTATGGTTTAGAGTATTGGTAATTATAAATTAGTCCCTCTTGTTTTAAAAAATAAATAAATTTCATTTTAAAAATTAATTATTTAATATTTTTAATTAGCTTTCATCATGACTCATTTAATAATTTTTTATTTTATATATATATATATATATATATATATATATATATATAATTTCCATCATTTTACTTATTTTTACTTAGTTTTTGCATAAAAGCGCGTTAGTGCGTGCGTAACAGCAGCAACCTGTCGACAAATCATTTCCCATTTCAGAAAAGATTAAAGAAACCTGCCTTTAACTTTGACTGCGCAGGGAAGTTGGTGCCACTTGTTTTGATTATATCATACTTTATTAGTTCTTGCACTTCATTCAATGGAAAATCTTTCTCGAAATTCTACACTCTTTTCTTAAACTTTGACTGTACAATGAAGTTGTTGTCAATAAAAAATGAGCCTGGATTTTTGTTGGGATGTATCCTATCTAATATCACCAAGTACACTCCTGACTCCTTACTTTAATCTCATAATTAATTTGTCCCACATTAGCTCATCGATGACGAAATCCTGTTTAATGGGTTATTGGAAATTTTCTACTACATATCATGAGATTGGATCTCAATTTCCAAGCACTGACAATGTATTATACTGGTTCTCCCCATCAAGATTACCCAGTTATTTTCTATATATATATCCACGGACACGTTACTAGAGCAGCCAGGACACATTTTCCTACCCTAAAATGAGGAGTTGTTTCAGAATTGCATGCAGCTTTGTATTCTTGTTCTTCTTATCTCCACAAAATTCTACCTTTACATCTTTGTCACAGGCTTCTTTTTACCCTCTTTCAAGCCAAAAATGTTCTGATGTTGAGAAAGCAGCCTTGCTCCAACTCAAAAGGGATTTATCAGCAGCAATACCAGAATCTACTGTTGCTGGGGATTCTTTGCTACCTTCGTGGAAGCCGAACACTGATTGTTGCTCCTGGGAAGGCGTCAGTTGCCATGAAGTTACAGCTCATGTGATTGGACTTAATATCAGTGGTTACAACTTCTATGATCTTGTTGATTCAGGTGACATCCTTGAACTCCCTTACCTTGAAAGACTTAATCTTGTCAATTGCAGTATTGGAGGAATCCCGAGTTTTCTTCGAAACATGAGTGGTTTGATTAAGCTAGACCTTTCTAGCAACAAAATCGGTGGCCAAGTGCCGAAATGGATTTGGCAATTAGAAAGCTTGGTTCACTTGAATCTGGCCAGCAATTTTTTCAATGGGATTGAAGTACCAGTTCCAAGTCCAAAGTTTAGTTCCTTGACTTTCCTTGATCTCACATCCAACTTGTTAGAAGGCTCAATCCCAGTTCTACCGCCCTCCATAAAATTCCTCTCACTTGCCATCAACAGGCTCACCGGGGAGATTCCTGCATCTTTCTGCAATATGAGCAGTCTAACAATGTTGGATCTTTGTTATAATTACATGACTGGTCAAATTCCGCAATGTCTCATGGACCGTAGTTCTACTCTTACCGTACTAAATCTACGGGAGAACAAATTTTTCGGGTCCATGCTCTGGAATTTTACTCGAGAATGCAGTGTGAAGACACTCAACTTATACGGGAATCATCTATCAGGAAAACTTCCAATATCTCTATCAAATTGCAGAAGCCTTGAAGTCCTAGACCTCGGAGACAATTGGATTAACGACACATTTCCATTCTGGTTAGGAAAGCTACGCCACCTGCAAGTTCTCATCCTACAATCAAATAAATTGGACGGTCCCATTGTCCAGCCATCGACATCAGATGATTTCCCACTGCTTCAAATCTTGGATCTCTCCGCAAATTTTTTCACCGGAAATCTGCCATCAGGCTACATTGCAGCATTCAAGTCCATGAGGATGAAGTCAAGTGAGTCCTTGTCGTATATGGGGTCTTACTATTACAGGGAGTGGATGACGATAACAAACAAAGGACAGAGAATGGAAGATATAAACATCCTAACCATCTTCACTGTCCTAGACCTCTCAAACAATCTTTTTGAAGGAGAGATTCCTGAAGCCATTGGTGATCTCAAGTTACTAGAAGTACTCAACCTGTCAAGCAATAATCTCAAAGGTGGGATCCCAACATCAATCTCCAACTTAACATTGCTCGAGTCCCTGGACCTCTCACGAAACCAACTCAGTGGAGAGATACCCATTCAGCTAACAAGGTTAACATTCCTATCTGTTTTTAACCTTTCTTATAATATATTAGCTGGGAAGATTCCAATGGGGAATCAATTTTCTACTTTTAGCAACGATTCCTATCTAGGAAACTTAGGATTGTGTGGGTTTCCATTACCAAACAAATGTGGTGATGTGAAGAAACAACTGCCATCAGGAACAATACAAGGAAGCTCTCCTTCGGACTCAGGTATTCCTTTCAGTTGGAAATTTACATTAGTCGGATATGGATGTGGGGTGCTTGTAGGAGCTGTCATCGGTCTCCGAAACAGGCGATGCAACGAGTGGATTGAACAATCTTTCAAGGCAAAGAAAGGGCTGAAAAAGGTACGGAAGTGACGAAAAAGATGATGATTATTGCAATAGTAACCATGAAGAGAAATAGGCGAGGTATATGGTAGAAAGAAAGGGTTGGAATATGTGTTATTTTAGACTAGCATAACAACTAGACTTCTCGTTACCTTATGTGATGCTCCCTTTTGTCTGGTCTTCGTTCTTCAGTGGAAAGATGAGCTTTATACAGCTAAAGTTTCATTATTGTTATACACCATTGTACATTTTCTTGCTTGTATTGCTCAGCTTCTCCATGGACCATTGTCCTAGCCTCAGTCTCTCAATATCAATTATGATGCTTTTATTGCATCAGCAACAATCCAAATTAGTTTGCTATAGATCCACATGCCATATGGGTCAACAATCATCTCACATTAGACTTGAAGTGAAGCCCATAATATACCTTATATAATGTTGGCCCTAACCTCGGAAGATTCAGAACTAGTATGAATGAATCAATGAAGGCATCTGTAGGAATTTGCTCTGTCAAATAATTCTATGCTCAATTTTTAACCTGAAAATTCCTCCAATGGAAGATTAAAAACGGACTACTTTTTTGTCCCATTTGTTCAGGACTTGGAGAAGGGTTTTGTTAGAATTTGTCCGAAGAGAAATTTCTGAAAAATCAGCAAGAGGCAAAGACAATTGACGTGACCTACGAACTTCTCTGCTAAGTTTATCCTGTCTTTTGCAGTTTTCTTCCATTCTCGTCCTCACGTGTTTTATTTTATTTTATTTTTTCATTCGAACCCCTCTGTTTAGATCAATTCCTACGAACTAACTCTCAATTCCTCTTTAGTTGTTCCCTAAAACTTTTGGTATTTCCGAATTATCCCACTACACTTTCAAAGTAATTATGATTAAAATCCTATAAAAATCCAAAATTAATTCTATTTTTTCTTTTAAATTCTTTTTTCTTTCCTCTTTTTTCTTTGTATTTATGAAAAAATAATAAATAAAATTAAACCAAAATTAAAAGCTAATGATAAAAATAAATTTTGACAAATAAATTCAGATAAATTCTACACTACTCAATAAATCAAAAGAACTTGTGAAAATGTCAAATAATTATTGGGGGCCAAAAATATAATGTTGAATCTTGCTGTGGCTTTAGCAGAAAATGGGGTTTTTAAAGAGATGTAATGTTGAATCGATTGGAGCAAAATTGAATGCAATTAAAAAGGCTGAGGATAGAGATATTTTCAAGCAGGCTATATATGGAGAATATAAGGCTCAAAACTCCACCTTCTAGCGGTGGAAGAAAACAAGTGACGGCCAAGTCCCCTAATTCACTCTCTTGCTGTCTCTCTCTCTCTCTCCTCGATTCAGAATCAGAATCAGAATTAAGGGAGGTAAGATAGATAACATGTTGCATGCCTTATGATTTTAATTCTGAACATTTTATATTATTTTTAACATTTTTATTTTAAAAATTTAACATCGAAATGTTTAATCGATGTAATTTAAATATTTTGCACAATGGTTAATCGAGTTAACCATTACAAATAATAGAGTTTATGAAACTCTGGATAATATTTATCCAAAAATCGATAATTTGAGAGTTTAAATTATATAAATTGATAATAAAAATATAAAATTATCAAGTTAGAATAGAACAGATGTAATTTTTGCCATAAACCTCCTAAAAATTAAGAGACTATCTAACTATTTCCCACATAGAATAATTTGGCATATCATTTTCGAATCATTCTAATAACCTAAGATCTTTCTACATTGACCATGACTGCTTTCTAGCTGTTAAGCTGGAAGTGCTTAATTTCAAAACCCTGTCTCCTCTTGATTGAGTTCTGAAAAAAAAAAAAAAAAAAATTATACCAAAGTAGTTCTAGCATTTCCGCATTTCCTCAATTCCAATGAGTAGCAATGGATCACTGTCCACTTTTCTGCCTGCCAATACATGCAGCAACCTGCTGACACGAAGAAACTCACTAAAGGTTAATTAGGCTGGCACATATATAGTTTACTTTCGAAGTTTGAAAAAGCGTAGAATACCTGTTAGTGGGAATGGGGCTTAATTAACATCTTAAACAGTGTTGGATATTATGTACAACCATAATTGCTTTCTTGTAATTAATAATTAATAAGTAGGAAATTTCTACAATAAAGGAAGCAGCAGGCAACAAATAATTTTCTAACATATAATATAAATTACAACCAGCTAATTACAAACAAACAACATTACATGAATGTCAACAGAATGAACCTTACACTAGCATCCTTCCATATTGATCTGGTGCATACAGATGAATTTAATAGATCTCTAGTAATGTTGGCCAAAGTTTACTTACACTAGAATATCAATTGGCTGCTCTTTTCATGCATACATACATATCTTATATCATATATTTTTATATTCTAACAAATCCCATGATTTTTCTCAGCTATAGTATCACAATTCACTTGACTATGACTAGTGTAAGCAATCCTAACGAAAGCAAATTAAACAATATAGATACTATAAGAAAGGTTTACTTTTGATACACTATTGAATAGTTGACATTTTTGTGTGGCTCGAGCCCACCACTATACATATATCATATCAATTTTTTCGTCTTTGACCCGTTCTGGGTCTGCTTCGTGACTGGGAAATGACAGAGAAAAGGTTAAGAGTTCTAATAGAGTTCAGCACTTCAGCTGATTCCGTTCGATGATTCAAAGCATCATCAAGTAAGTCCAGGTCCAACCCAAGTTTGTTCGAGTCCAGTGTGATGGAAGTCAAGTAATTAGAGGTGACAAATCACAAACGTGTTAGACCAATTTGGATGTCAGAATCATGGAATTAATCAAAGCATGAAACAAACTATTAATTTGGAGAAAAAATGTTGCATTAGTTGTGTTACATCACAAATGGTGTTGATAGACACATATCCAATGGCAGTGCTTAGCTTATCTTTACAAAAGACCACTAATTACGGTAAAATAGTTGATTATGAATAGGAGAGATTTTGTCCTACGTACCTTAATCTTGTTGTAGTAAATTGATTTGAAACCATATTAATTCTTTTTATTTTTTTAAGATGCTAGCTATCTATCCTACCTAGTTCCTAACTAATTAAAGTGTTTTTTCTTTGTTTTATTTTTATTTTTATCTTAAGAGACCTAACTAATTAATGTTAATACTTTTATTTTTTTGAATCGATTTAAAATTAGATATGATCTATTGTTAACCTAGTTCAAAAAATAGTAGATTTAGTTTTGATTTTTTTTTAAAAAAGAGCTAATATGAGAATACTCGACTAACTTTTATATATATATATATATATATATATATATATATATGACTTATTTCTTCAACGACTATGTATGTCCATATCTAAGGCACCATGCAATAAGCCTCGCTCTAAAAGAAATATAAAATGTGGGTCTTAATTAATAAAATCATATTTACACCGTAAACATAAAAAGAATTAAGAATTAGGTAATTTGCGAGCCTTTTGAAAATTATTATTGACTTTCACTTTTTAATAACACTCTGTGCGACCAACTTCTTTTCGTTCCTTTTTTATTTATTTATTTATTTTTTATAGATTGCTCTACGTATGTATACATCTCCTAAAATAAACTTCATAGGAAGAGTTAAGGAAGTTTCATGCATTATATAATAAAATGATGCCAATTTGAGGAGAATTTGCGTATTCCATTAAACAATTTGGGAAGATATCCGATGAGATACTAAATTGAGGAATAAATGATTCTTTGAAGATCAAAATGAGAAAATTTTAAGTTTTAGAATTATATTGAAAATAATTTCATAGTTGAAGGATTAATTTGATATTTATCCTTATAACACCTGTTTACTAATTTGGGGTTCGATCTTTATTCTTTCCTACATTTTTGGAAGCAAATTCGTACGTAGTAACTAGAAACAATTAATTATTATTCTGTTTAATGTCCATTGACAAATTATTATGTAATTATTCCTTTAAATTAATGTTCAACTTCCAAATTAACATTTTTTTTTAATTAGCATGGACTTATGATCCAAGTTTAAGAAAGTTCTTGCACTTTGAATTTACTCAAGGAAGGGAAAAAAAAAACAAAAAAAAACCCTAATGCACAAACTTTTCTTAAATTTGACTATAGAAAGAAGTTGGTGCCACTTGTTACAAGAATATGACACATCTTCTGTAATAAAGAGAAGACCAAGAAATTTCTTGGAATCTTTTTATCCAACCTAGTACAAGTAACTATCTCTTGTCAAGCTTATTATCACAATTTAAATGATAGCAGCAGACAAGGAAATCCCACATTAGACTTTTGTTTTGTTTTGTTTTGTTTTTCAAATTAATATTCAATGGTGTAAGGAGTAAATTATAAATTAGTTTCGAAAAAAAAAATAATTGTCCTTTTTGTTTCAAAAACTAATTTTTTTACTTTCTATATGTTTTTTTTTTTAATTTGCAACTTAATCTATTTTTTGTTTTTAATTTATTTCGATTTTTTATTTAAAAAATAGAAAAAACAATTAAAAAATATAAATACTAAATTAAACATGATAAATACTAATTAAGAGATTAAATAATTAGTTTTTACGTGTTTTACGGAATAGGTTATAATTTACTTATGGTGTAATTTGTTAAAAAAAAAAAAAATGTTCATTGAGTTACTGGAGATGGAGATATACCTTATGGTGCTCATGAGAATGGATGCTAATTTCTAAGTACATCACATACTGTCTACACCCAGCTAGTTCAAGAATTTTGTCTATAAAACTACGTACTAACCCATCACTATAACATCCAAGACAAGAAATTTATCGCCAAAAATGAAAAGTTATTGCAGAACAGCCTGTTGCTTTTTATTCCTATTCTTTTTATCTCCAGCAAATTCTACTTTCACATCATTGTCACAAACTTCTTCTCGCCAAGTTTTAGGCCAACAATGCATTGGCAGTGATAAAACAGCCTTGCTCCAACTCAAAAGGGATTTATCTGCAGCCAAACCTGAATCCACTAGTCCTCTCCAGCCTTACTCAGGTTCTTTTCTTGCTTCTTGGAAGCCTAACACTGATTGCTGCTCCTGGGAAGGTGTTACTTGCCATGAAGTCACGACACACGTGATTGGCCTTAACCTTAGTGGTCACAATCTTTCTGTTCTTGTTAATTCAACCAAGTTTCTTAACCTTCCGTACCTTGAAAGGCTGAATCTTGTCAACTGTAGTATTAGAGAAATCCCGAGTTTTGTTCAGAAGCTAGGAGGGTTGGTTGAGCTTGACCTTTCTAAGAACAAAATCCGTGGCCAAGTGCCTAAATGGATTTGGCATTTAGAAAACTTGGTTTACTTGAATTTGTCGAACAATTTCTTGAATGGAATGGAAGCACCACCTTCTGCTTCATTTTTAAGCTCTTTGGCCTTCTTTGATGTTAGCTCCAATTTGTTAGAAGGATCAATCCCAACACTACCACCCTCTATCAGCTTCCTCTCACTTGCCAAGAACAAGCTCACTGGAGAAATTCCTGTATCATTATGCAGCATGAGCAATCTGACGATCTTGGATGCTTGTTATAATTACATGACTGGGCAAATTCCAAAATGTCTTGAGGTTCTCAGTGCTACTCTCACTGTTCTAAATATACGGCAAAATAAAATTTTCGGCTTCATGCTCTGGAATTTCACTGAAGAATGCAGCCTCAAGACACTCAATTTATATGGGAATCAGTTGAGAGGGAAAATTCCAAAGTCTCTGAAGCATTGTAGAAGCCTTGAAGTCTTAGACCTTGGAGATAACCAGATTAACGACACATTTCCTTTCTGGTTAGGGATGCTTCCAAACTTGCAAGTTCTTATCCTAGAATCAAATAGATTGCATGGTTTCATTGGCCAGCCGTTGACATCAAATGACTTCCCAATGCTTCAAATCTTGGATCTCTCCTCGAATAATTTCACAGGAAATTTGCCCTTGGGTTACATTGCAACATGGAAGTCAATGAAGATCAAGCTGAATGAGTCACTATCGTATATGGGATCTTACTATTACAGGGATTGGATGTCAATAACAAGCAAAGGACAAAGAATGGATGACATCAACATCTTAACAATTTTCACTGTCCTAGACCTCTCAAACAATCTTTTTGAGGGAGAGATTCCTGCAGTGATTGGTGATCTCAAGTTACTAGAAGTACTCAACTTGTCTAGAAATAATCTGGTAGGTGAGATCCCAATATCCTTCTCAAAGTTGACATCGCTTGAGTCCTTAGACCTCTCAAAAAACAAGCTCGTAGGTGAGATCCCAACGCAACTAATAAGCTTGACATTCCTATCGGTTCTTAACCTTTCTTATAATAGGTTAGAGGGGAAGATTCCAATAGGGAATCAATTTTCGACTTTCTCTAATGACTCCTATGAGGGAAACTTAGGGTTGTGTGGGTTCCCATTGTCCAAGAAATGTGATGATGGTGAAGATCTACAGCCATCAGGAGCACAACAAGAAAGCATTCTTTCGGAGTCAGACAGTCCATTCAGTTGGAAATTTGCATTGGTTGGATACGGATGTGGGGTGCCTGTGGGAGTTGCCCTTGGTTACATCTTGTTTTGGAAGACCAAGCGATGCAGCAAGTGGATTGAACAATCATTTAAGGCAAAGAAACGGCAGAGAAATGAACAGAATCGAAGAAGAAGATGAATGTTATAGTTGATGGAAAATATGGTAGAAATATATATTTTGTAACATAACATGGTAGGACAGTGTAGGATCGAACATAAATAAAATACTTGTAGCATGTAGCAAAAATAAATTTATAAAGTTCACCGAAGAGAACTAGGCACAAATTCTCAGGGCTTAGCTTAAAGCCTAAATCCAAAGGTGAAGCCAAAGCAGACAATTAAGCAGGAAAGAAAACCAAATGCGCAAATACATCAAAAAAATATCTCATCAAAACCTCAAATTTCTGCCTCATTCTTTACTGATAACAGTAGGTTTTGCACTTGGTATGCGTATATTGGTTGGTTGACAAAAAAGCAACTCCAATAAGGAGTACTGATAGCCAGCACTCAAACAGAGGGAGAGAAATACTGGATCTTAGCTGTACATGTAACACGTCTAAATTGGACAATAGCAATTTGCTATTCCTTTTAATCCAAGTTTCTTCGTTATTGTGACAGACTCTTCACTGGATGACGGAAAAGTCTTCCAAAGACTAATCCTTGAACTGCTAAACCTTACAATATTCTATCTTATCCATAACTCTCCTTCACTATATATAAGGGGTTCTTGTAACAGTAAGTTCATATCACCAAGTTGCTTTACTATCATTGGCTCACCACATTTTGGTTATTGTGAGTTTCTTTTCCATTGGTTGTGCGATGGTCACAGCATGAAGCCTAGTCCATTGCAAGAGTTCTGCGTTGCAGATCCTACATACTAGCCCAGGTCAGAATTTCACCGATTCAAACTACGGTAGCTTTAATTGCATAGAAGATTTTATTTGTTTTTGTTTCTAACATATTCTCAGTATAGCAGCAAGAGTTAATGGCCTAGCTTTTTTGGACTCGAAAGGTGGTAACAAGTCAACCATTTTTTCTTTAGTGGCCTCCATATTCCAGGCAACTCATCGAATCCCCTTGGCTATGTAGTTAAACCTGTCTTGGCAGCATAATTACGAGGACTTAACACCCTCGGAATCTCAATGGTTCGGGTTGACCATGTGCCATCTAATCTAACGTAGTGGAAATTCACTAAAAAAAGATAAATACCATTGATCTAAAATTCAGAAACTATTTTACTATAATCTGTTGAATTACACACAAATATCGGGAAATAGATTTCAATCCCGTTGATTCAAAAAATATCAAAAATTGGAAAAAACTGAGATATTTTCTCATAAAGTTTATTAATTAAGCAAAAGTATCATTTTTCAACCTCAAAGTCATATATAAATAGTAAATTTTGGCCAAAACCCTATAACAATTCAAAAAGGAAATAAACACTAAAAAATTTAAAAATAATTAGGAAAATCCAAAAAACCTTAAAAGCTAGTTTTGAGAGCCTAAATGATGTTTTTTGCCAAAATTACTCCTACATCATAGGCAAAGCCAATGAGTTTTGATCGTTGATCCGTTTGACATCGAATTAGATCCAAAAAACCCCTAAAATCGAGTCGACAATTTTGCTTAGTTTTTACCGTGCTCAAAACGTTTCATGAATTCTAACACTCGTTGGTTTGCACCATAATCCCTCCGCACACTCACCCTTGTGCTACTCGAAATTCTTACCGTCTTAAAAGAAGACTCCTTGTTGGCTTTGTGACTTCTAGCCCCGAAAGCAGTGCTCATTACTAATGTACACAACTCGTTACAAGCCGCAAAACAAAAGGCTCGAGTTTAGAATGTGGAAAGAAAATAAAGCATATGTTTCGTTACATGTGGATCAACAATTATAGAGTTGGTATTGGAGCGAGATGAAGCAAAATAGCAAGAATCAAGAACCTGGGACTCGCTCTTTTACTACGAAAGGATGAATTGACGACGAAGAGGAGTATGTTATTACTTGTGAATGAAAAGCTTGACAAAAAGAGAGAATTTTGGTTGAATACCGTATACATTTCTCTTCTCTTTCATTTCAATAAATAGATGAGTACATAATGATTATAGGCTAATTTGCCTCAAGCTATAGCCGTACAATCTAAGTAGTGATTATCGATAATATTATAGGCTGATTTACCTCTAATTATAGCTATACAATATAACCAAATATACAACAATTATATCAAAATAAATGTTATCTATATATGGTAACATCCCCCTCAAATTGATGTTGATTGGTCAAAAAGCATCAATTTGTTAATAAGGAACCGGTGACATTGTCGAGAGAGAGCTTTTGTAAACACATCGACCATCCGTAAGGCAAGTAGAAACATGAGGAAGAGAAACAACACAAGTATTCACGAACTTTCCAAATATAATGACAATCCACTTTAATATGTTTGGTACACTCATGGTATACTCGGATTAGTAGCAATTTGAATGGCACTAGTGTTATCGGCATGAAGAGGAGTAGAATCATGTTGATGAAACCCAAGCTTAGTTAGCAATCCTCAAAGCCAAGTGATCTCGGAACATGCGACGGACATAGCACGATATTCGGATTCAATGGAAGATTTAGAGACACGGTCTTGTTTCTTACTCTTCCAAGATATCAAACAATTGCTAAGAAACATGCACCAACCAAGTGACGGAGCAACGGGTATTAGGACAAGCAACCCAATCGAGCATCACTAAAGACAACAAGTTTTATAGGAGATCCGGCAGGAAAGAATAAACCACGAGAAGAAGTACCTTTCGGATAGCGAATGATACGACGAACAAGTAGCCAAGTGTAGATGTCTTAGAGAGTGTAGAAGCCGACTAACTTGTTGTACCACAAATGAGATGTCCGGCCTAGTAATAGTTAGGCAGTTCGAGCTACCAACTAATTGTCGATACAATAAAGGATCGGAAAATAATTCTCCCTCTTCAATATGATACTTAACATTCACTTCTGCAGGAGTATCAACGGAAGAAGAATCCCGGAGATCGCCTAAAGTAACCAAATCTTGAGTGTATTTATGCCGATGCAAAAATATTCCGGAAGAGTCGGTATGAACTTCCAAGCCCAAGAAATAAGTAAGTTGTCCAAGATCCTTCATATGAAAAGAATCACGAAGGTGCTCGTTGAAGTTGATCGATCAATAAAGTGTATGTTCCGGTGATAACAATATCATCAACATAGACTAAAAGAAGGACAATTCCCATGGAAGTTTTATGAAGAAACAAGGAAGAGTCATATTGACTTTGTACAAATTGAAACCGAAGCAAAGTAGAGCGAAACTTCTCAAACCAAGCTCGAGGAGCTTGTTTTAAGCCATACAATGAACGTTTCAACTTACAAACTTCCAAAGTAGAAGAGGAAAACAAACCAGGAGGAGGCATCATGTATATGTCCTCTTTGAGGTCACCATGAAGAAAAGCATTTTTTACATCCATCCGTTGAAGTTGCCACCCTCGAGAAGTAGCAATAGCAAGAACAAGTACACACTATAGTCATTTTGGCAACATGAGCAAATGTCTCTTCATAGTTAATCCTATATTCTTAGTGATTACCAAGAGCAACCAATCTGGCCTTATAGCATTTCGGTGTCCCATCATAGTGAAGTTTCACCGAGTAAACCCATTTACACCCAATAGGCTTGATCGTAGGTGGACAGGGGATAATTTCCCAAGTTTGATTATCTTGAAGAGCTCGAAACTCCTCTTTCATTGCATTTTTCCAACATTCATGCTTAGTCGCTTGTGAGTAAGAAGATGGGACCAAAATAGAGGATAAAGCAAGCACTAAATGATCTATGATAAGAGTCATACCTATTTGGACGATGAGAAATTCTAGTGGATCGTCTCATAACAGAGTGAGGCCGGATTAGATGGCGGTTCCGGATCGGGAAGGGGCAAGTGGCGAAGGATGTTGGTTGTACACAAGTCCGAGCTTGAATCGTTTAATAGCGGAAGACAAGTCATCAAAACCGGGAAGAATAGCAACTTCAGGTGACGATGGAACATGAGTTGGGAAGAAAAATTGATTTTCAAAGAAAAAAACATTGCAAGAAACTCGGAGTTTCTTAGAACTAGGATCATAACAAACAAAACCTTTGTGGCTAAAGCTATATCCCATAAATGCATATTTAATAGATTGAGCATAAAGTTTATGGCATTCATGAGGAGGCAAATGAACAAAACACACATCCAAACATGTACAAATGTCGAGAGTCGGGATGTTGATGATGAAGACGATAATAAGAAGAATCAAGATGTAGAGTTTTAGAAGGCAACCTATTAATGAGATAAACAGCTATAGATAAAGCTTCAACCCAAAAAATAGGTGGAACCGAAGATTCAAGTAACAAAGTTCGAGTTACTTCTAAGAGATGACGATTCTTTCATTCCTCCAAACCATTTTGTTGAGGCGTATACGGACAAGAACGTTGTGAGAGAATACCTTTTTGATTTAAAAATTCATGAAATGCTTTAGACATGTATTCTCCACCGTAATCCGATATAAGGATTTTGATAACGAGCAGAAAATTGAGTTTCAACATATTGGAGGAAAGTTTTAAAAATGAAAAAAACCTCGGATTTAGAATGAAGAAAATAAATCCAAGTGAAGCGACTATAATCATCAATAAATGTCACAAAATACTTATAATCTTCATGAGAAATAACTGGTGAAATTCCCCATACATCACTATGAATAATATCAAAGCATTTTGTTGCACAACTACGAATAACAGGAAAAGGAAGACTTTTACTTTTTCCTAATTTACAAATTGAACAATCAACGGAAAGACGAGAAGAACACAATTGATTAGTATTACCCAAAAGCCCAAATTTTAACAAATAAGACAATATACTAGAATTAGGATGGCCCAAACGTTTATGCCATACTTCGTAATAACCCCGTCCCAAAAACATACATTGTCCATGCATACACGCATACTTAGGAATTACATGCATATAATTATACCTGCATATGACATGTTAGTGGGGTATTAGATAATAATTATTTTGAATAATAGGAAGAATTAGGGGCTTAATTGAATGTAATCTAAATTGGGGGGACTAGAATAAAAACAAGCTAAAACTTGAGGGACCAAA